CTACATTTTTTCCCAAACGCGACGCGGGAAGTCTGCTGCAGTCGACCGCAGAGTGTACACCGATAGACTTCCTTGGCATTGCCTGGTAAGATCCCGTCTTTGGTAGTTACTTAAGTAGTTTTAAATGATGAGAAAGATTGTTGTGTTCGTCTTTATCAACTGCAACCATCCCGCAACCCTCTCCTCCCTCCTTAGGACTACATTTTGGCAATATAAAATGGATTGGAAATAAGATCTTGCGGGCAGGGACGTTTAGACTACCGGTAATCCCACCGTTCCATTCAGGATGAAGGGACTATGGATAAGTGTCGCCGATAACGACAAGGCAGAATAGAATAGCCGTAATTATGACGTAGTTGCCGCTATCAGTTCAATTCAGTCAAACACTGCCACTGAGGCATAAGTTAGGGTCCGGTCGACAGACATTGCAGTGATAAGGTCAGAGGCAGAATACCCAAAACATTGCAAACTGTTTTTCTCTTTCACAATAGTCTGTTCCGATTACTAAATTTACTGAGTAGTTGTCGTTACATGAGTTGGACTGAGGAGTTAAATAGGCTGAAAATTCCTGATGTTGCTACCGGGCACAGTTAAACTAGGTAGAACGCGTGCGATAGACCTAGCAAACTGAAGCATTAGATGGCCGCTTTATTTCCGCTACAAGCATCCTCCAGTCTCTCTGAAGCTGACTCCACAAGCAAGAAAATTTTCTGCGTGTGATGACTTTATAAATATTGAGGAAGCGGAAAAAATAAAAAACTACAGTAGTTGGAATCTTAGCAGAGGAACAGACATAATCTCTTCAGATACGACCAGATGAGAAATAAAAAAGTGCGCTCCTAAGACGTAGGCCTTGAAGATGGAAAGTCATAGTGGAAAGAAATAATTGTGCCTACTCAAAAGAAAAGCCGCTTTTTGTTTAGGAGGAATTTTATCATTGCTCAACACTAGCGTGAACTCTTCACAAACATGTCTAGTATAGAACCCTTTTGGGTCATTTTACACCCTAAGGGGATATCAAAAGTAGAGTAGCTTGACTATGGGGGACGTTATTTAGTCTAAGCTATATAGAAAATTCCTGTTAGGCAAAGAATGACAGTCTACTGCCGCTTATAAGACACATTTGCCGTTTTTTGTTGTAAAAGTGAATATATTACTTTCATCAGGACGGCTTCTAGTCAATCTACTCCCCATGAAAGACTTTCTACTCGGTATATTAGTCTTTGGGATGAAATAATAAGAGCCGAAATGCCCCTCCCCCTGTTGGTGGCGTATTTATTTGGAAGTGTCTTATAGGAATTTACTTACTGTCTCACAGGTCAAAACACATGGCACTTCTGCCCTTCCTTCCGATCTTTGAGAAGGATCGACCAAGTCTCTCCCCTTTGACACAGCCACTGGATTTCCTGACAATGTATTCGGCCGCAACCACCACCACCCCCACCACCAGCAACAGTCCTCTTCAATTCAACCATTTAACAAAAAGTGCTGATGTTTTTCACCCCTCAGACCCCCTCTCTGTTGGAGGTGGGTTAATAGCCGCCGGACGCGATGGCTCAACGAAGCCTGAATTTGCTCCACTGGGTCTGAACGACAGCTCCTGGGGCGACCAGTCTCGAATTCGGGATCAGATTCTGAGATTTTGTTATTGCTTTTTAACCAACATGTCCGCTAGGCGAGTGCTCAACGCAGGGCCACAGCGTCCCAATGCACCAGCAGCCCCCGACGCAGACATAATGCTGGCACAAACCCCTCCAAGAAGACATGCCAGGCCTCCACCACCCCCTCTGACTGACCCTACGGACCTGCCTCCGTTTCCACCGACCAACCCACAAGAACTGAACTCCGTGCCTTGTCGGA